CAGCTGCCATGAATTAGGTAGGTCCCAAGTTATACCGTGTCCATTGAAAAGATACTTCATTAGTGATACAGACAGTTTGTGGTCAACTGATGGTTTCTGTTTTCAAGTTGCTTAAACTTTGACAGACTTGAACTTACTTGACTAAAGTAGGGAGCCTGGTGCTGAAAAGCTCCTTTCCCAGCTTCTGAGTGAGAACATGGAACCGTTATATTGTTGCCTGGGATGGAATAGATATTTTTAATTGTTCTTCTTTTTTCTTTCTCTTGGTCTTCATTACAGCAACAGTGAGAGAAATGTATTAAAACAAAAATACATTTGTAAAACTAGAGAACTCAGTAGAGACAGCCATGCAAGCAGAATTTGGGAAGTTAATTTCTAATTGAGTTCTTGAAACTGCATAGATTTCTAATTGACTTTATGCCTTAAACATGCTGCAAGAGAAGGCTTGGATGTAAATCGTTATTCCAAGAAAACTACTGTGTATGAACAAGTAGAAAAATTAAAGATCATAGTTCAGCATGTACGTACCTGTTCTTGCTGCTGAGGTGTCCTCAAAATATTTTTTATTAAAAGACGCACAGCTTTTCCTCTCAGTTTTGATAAAGCAACATGCCCCGCACGTACGTGTATTGATGGTTAGTAATTCCACAGGAAAATTGAAAATCTCTTTTTAAAATCTTTTACAGCATGCTGGGGTTAAAGGACAAGCAGAAAGTGAAAGTGGAGTTCAAAAGCCAGGAGCCCTTAGAGAGGATACTGAACAAGATACTGAAAGACTTAAAGTAAATATAGTGTGTTGTGTGAAGCTGAAAGAAATCTAGTTAGATGTCATGTTTATAACTTCATCTCATGTTGAAGTTCTTTATCTGTGGCTGCGTTTTATAGCTGTTGGTTACTTGTATGTTTTGGTTTTTTGCAGGCAAACTTGAAATTTTCCCTAAAATCTTTACACATCTCTGATGGCATTAACAAGAATTTCAGTTTTTTGTTCATTGTGTTAATCCCCTTTTTGTTTTCCCTTTTCTGGGAGGGAAATGGTTGTTCCTAAATGTTTAGTAAGCACTCAAATTTCTAAAAAAAAAAAAGGGGTGGGGAATAGTAATTGGGATTCAGATTGTTGTGCATATGTAAGAGTAGATGGATTGGTGTGATTTCTCAACCATAACAATAAATGATCATTTCGATCAAACGATACTAAATACAGAGCTATTCTGTCATTTTTCAGTCCTAGCCAAAAAATCCAAATTTCTAATTGGAACACTAATGCTTCCTAGGGAATTGTTTTATCTGTAACCTTTTAATTTACAAATAAAGACAGTCTAGACATACTGTTCTGCATAACCATGACTTAATATGCCTTACTTAATTGTATTTATTAGTCCCAACGGGAGCCATTGATGAGAGCACGAAGTGAGGAAATGGGAAGGACAGTACCAGGACTGCCTGCAGGCTGGGTGAAGGTAATTATAATTTCCAGAATTTTAGAATGTCATCACCTGTGAGAAACACGTTTCCTGTGTGTGCAAAGGCAAACCATTACCATTACATTTCTTTTGATTTTTTTCGTAACATTTTACACGTATAGTGTTCCATATTTTCTCTAGATCTTAAGATTCTTGTTACTGAAATGAGTGGAGCTAATGTCTACAACCACTGGCACCAAGCAATCAATATTTAATGCATGTTTTAGGGGAAGTAGTATTATTCATAAAAGCTTAATCCATTAAATATTGAGATGGTCTGCAATGTGAGTTTATCATAACGTCTACATATTTAAATTATTGAGGTAATGTTTTTTTTTATAACTCAAATGTTATAAGCTATATTGTCCACTGATGGATTTTACCTGGCTTTTAAACTATTTATTTTTCTCTCAAGTTTCCAGACACAACCACTGGGACCTTTCGTTATTATCACTCACCAACAAACACTGTTCATATGTATCCACCGGAAATGGCTCCTACATCCACCCCTCCATCCACTCCACCAACTCACAAAGCCAAGCAACGGGTGACTGTTGAACGGGAAAGAGAACACTCCAAACTGAAGCGCTCCTATTCTTCACCAGATATAACCCAAGCCATTCACGAGGAAGAGAAGAAGAAAATTCCTGTAACTCCTGCAGTCAATCGTGAAAATAAGTATGTCTGCTAAATTAAGTCTCTGTGCGACATGAGGTCTTAAAATTCATGGAATTCGGGTGGATAATTGGATTGTTTTATGTGCCTGTAAGAAAGTTTATGATGGACTTAAACTGGCTAGCTGCCATTTTTTGTCATTATTTACCCATTGTTAAACTTATGGGATTTCAAATACCACAGTGTGACTGTTGGTAAAGTAGCTGAAGGGATTGTAGCACTTTATGCATCTCTAATTTAGTTAGTCTAAGCTTTTGTGAGCCTATGCTCACTTCATCAGATGCTGAGAGAGGACATGCACAGAGCAGTCTATCAAATAGAGAGAGGGAGACTTCTCTTTGAATACAAAACACAGGAGAAGGAGGTGAGAAGGGAGGGGCAGTGCTGGGAGGGGCAAACAAGTAATAAACCTATAGGGACAAAGGGGTCACAAAAGCTAATCCAGGTACTGGGATAAGAATCCATAGTTCATGTTTAGACTGTACTTAATCGAATCTGTGGATGAGGTCTTGTTTTGCAATGTCCCGTTACTTTAGTTTGTAAAATGTTGTCTAAGAACAGCTACTCTGAGGTCAGCAATGGAATACCCAGGGAGGTTAAACGACGACTGTTTTTCATCAGCATACTATTTGTAGATGTTAACTTCCTCTTTGTTGTGGAATGGAAGTCTCTGGGCCACATACAGGCGTTACTTCTAATGGGAGAATTGCCATTCTCCCAGTAGAAATGACAGGTGCACAAACATTCAGTCAGTTTCTCCTGGGAGAAACATGCCCCTTAAAGGAGAAGATCTTCCAGGTATTAACTTGGAAGTTCTCCCATGCTAGAGAGTTTCTCTTGCAAGAATGAACGCTTGTGCTCTCCCCTCCATGTCTGGTTTGGGAGGGTGAGGGAAACAGCAGGGATTGCCTAGGGCTGGGGGCTTTGCACTGCTGCTCCCGTCTCCTTCTGGACTGGTCCGGGAAGCAACAGGGCAATGCTGTCCACTTCTCTAGATGAGGAACTGCCTCGTCTGGGAAACAGACTAAGGGATTTGTCCTACTGTTTCCTCCCCTCCCAGGGTAAAGCAACAAGCACCAGCTCTGAAGTGTCATGTGGGGGATAAATTCCTACTGTGTCCACAACCTTGTGAGGATCCTTGGTCTAGGAAAGTTTGGAGGGGACAGGGGGGTGCTTTGCCCCACTAGTCCAGTCCCCTTGGACCAGGAGGAGTTGAGCAGCTGGTTCTCCACACCAAGCAGGAGATCAGGGGAGAGGGGGCAGCTGTAAGCTGAACGCCGGTATTGCTCTCTCTTCCAGAACAATGTCCAGCAGGGGAAATGTCTCAAAAACTTCTCCGATTAGAAATGACCACCAGTTTGAGGCCCCTAGTCTGTCTCTGGGCAGTACTACAGACCAGTATTCATTGCCTTGTATAGGATCTACCATTATTACCTTATTTAGTCTTGAATAACTTAAATGAGTGTTCTATAACTTTCTGTGGCAGGATTTTCCATTTCTTCTCATGAGTCTGTTGCATTGCATATACAGTCCTGGTATTCTCTGTGCTCTGACTCAACTGGTTTCCACCTCTAGTCAAGGAGTGTTGGGAACACAGATATCTTCGGAGCCAATCCAGCATCATTTGGTGTGAACTTAAGATAAGTCTGTCAGAAAAAAAGTCAGGCTGTTTAACTCCAAAGGCTAAAATGTACTGCTTTCTCAGGGCCCCCAACTAATCTGTCATGAGACCAGGACTAGCTCTTCATGTGATAGAAGAAAACACTACATACAGTAGGCCGTCAGGCAAACCTGGGAAAACAAATGCAAAGCTCCACACTGCTGAATAATTTCTTCCTTACAGACCTGCTTGTTACACTAAAGCAGAAATCTCCAGGCTGTCTGCGTCGCAGATTCGGAATCTCAACCCTGTCTTTGGGGGATTGGGACCAGCTCTCACAGGACTTCGTAATTTAGGGAACACTTGCTATATGAATTCTGTATTGCAGTGTCTGTGCAATGCACCACATCTGGCTGATTATTTCAATAGAAACTTCCATCAGAACGATATCAACAGGTAACAATTTCTTAATCTATATCATATTTTAATTTGAGGCATGGAACGCAGAATTTATTTTTACCACTGTTACAGTTTTAAAGTAAAAGAATATATATTAAAACTAGTGCTTTAAAACCCCACGCAGTCATTTTAAAATTAAAAACACTGGAAGTGCTAAGACACTACGTCTCTAGGTTTTCTGAAAGTTTGGATATAGGGTGAAGTATGTTCTTCCAGGAAAATCTCTGTTTATGGTGAGCCCATCAATTGGGATATCAAAGCCAAGACTTGATAAGGCAGAAATCAGAAGTGAAAAATGTCCTGACCTGCAACCCATTCTCTGATTATGGAGCTAGATTGTAAAGTATTTTAATTCCTTATCCCTGGTGTATGAGAACAATACCACATGCAACTCTCATTGAGACCCATTCTGCAAGCAGTTATCTGCATGTGTAAAGTTAAACACGCAACTGTTTGCAAGATGAGAACTTAACTGAGGACTTTCTAATCTTGGGGAAAAATACTTCTCATAGTCTTAGATTTAAATAGAAAGAACTAACATTTTGTAGTAACAGATATTTGTTTTAATTGTACAGGTTGAATATTCTGGGACATAAAGGTGAAGTGGCTGAAGAATTTGGTGTGATAATGAAAGCTTTGTGGACAGGACAGTATAAATTTATCAGTCCAAAAGATTTTAAAACAACAATTGGGAAGATCAATGACCAATTTGCAGGATACAGCCAACAAGACTCCCAGGAATTACTCCTGTTTTTAATGGATGGCCTCCATGAAGACCTAAATAAAGTAACTCATTACACAAGACAACTGACAATAAGGGAGTTTTTACATGTGCTCCAGGGCTAGGAGGGGGGTGCTTTATTTAGAGTGATTCCAAGAGCCATTGTAATTAAAGTGCCTGCAGTATGTCATGTATCAGCATCCCTGCACTTTAAAATGGCAGCGGGGTACCTCAAATAAAGCTTGTCCAACAAGCTTTAGTTAAAGTGTCCCCTGCTGCCACTTTGAAGTGGAGGGATGCTGATACACCAGATGTGGCGGCTGCTGGCGCATGCTAATTAGTATGCTCCAGCAGATTTGATTAATGAAGTCTGCTCCGTCGCACTATAATTACAGTGCGTCGGAGTAGACGTCCCTCATGTCTGCAGGCACCCCAAATGGTTAAACCGGATTTTAGTGGAACTAGTTTCTTGCTATGGTATAGATAGAATTAGCAGGCCCGTTACCTTAATCTTCAGCTGCCTGGGTGGCTTCGGCTGTACCAAGACACTGTATGCCCTGACCTCTGTGTGTAGAGAGAGCAGGCAGGTCAGGCTTGTGGAGCTAGCTACACTAGCTTTGCACCATCTTTGAGGCGGATGCTTTCGAACAAAGCAGGTACAGGAAGGGAGATAAAGAATTGAGCCCCAAGGCACTGCTGATGGTAAGGGGGTAATCAGGTAGCCATTTAGCTACATGTGGCATTGTGCACAGTCCATTACTTCATCTATGGTGTTTGTGTGTTTTTAATTTTAAGAAGTACGTTTCCATGATTTCTGCATAGTGTTACTTGTTATATCCTTTGCTTGACTCAAGCCAGGTCCTTTGAATGAAGAACTCCTGCAACCCTTCCTCATATTTAAAGAGCATATAGTTGAGGATAATTATGGATCCATTAGACTCCTGCATACCTTATCCTGAGTTGTCTGTTAATAAAATTAGCACTTTGGTAATCAGGGGTTTGTTCATGTTGAAAATATGTTTTCTTCATTCTCTCTTTTCCTCTTTATTTAAGGGGACAAGATGCCTGAAGTGCAGCTTGTGAACCATTTGACTTATGTATGCTGGTCATGAGGCCTGTGCAGCTGCTCTTCATGGTCTTCTGTGGAAAGCAATAGAACAAAGTGTAAATTACAATATTAACAGTAGGAGTTAAGCCTGTACAACAGGAAGCGCTAGAGGGGGCAACCCAGAAATACAGGGGGCTAGATGAGAAATACAGATTTGGTTAAAACCTCTTGCATAATTTTTCTAAAGTGCACATGTATACAATCTAACCTGTCTTCTTCACATATGCTTGTATGATGATTAAGGCATCTTCATTTCTTATTATCCAGGCTGACAATAGGAAGAGATATAAAGAAGAAAATAATGATCATCTTGATGACCTTAAAGCAGCAGAACTAGCCTGGCACAAACACAAGCAGCTCAATGAATCTATTATTGTGGCACTTTTCCAAGGCCAATTCAAATCTACAGTGCAGTGTTTGACATGTCATAAAAAGTCCCGAACATTTGAGGCATTTATGTATTTGTCATTGCCACTTGCATCCACTAGCAAATGCACGCTACAGGTAAGCTAGCAGGAGAGAAAACGGATACTTTTACTATAATAAAATACTAACCCTAGTTTTTTGGATGGCGTTTCTGCCCTGACTTAATAAGAGAGATGTCAGAAATTTCAGGAGACTTGTCTTTTGTCTTACATTGAGTAAAGCACAGGGTGGATTTTCCATGGGGGGCTGCAGGAGCAGCAAACCACACTGCAGAGGTGGCTGCTCCCACCACTCCCAGCCGCCAATGCAGGCAAACCACCCTCAGAAGCCTCCAGGGACTTTTTTGAAGTTCCTAAACCAAGTGAAAATTCCTCCTTCCCTTCCTCCCCTGTTCCAGGGGAAGCACCAGAGCCATTTCTGTCCACCTTAGCCAGGCTGTGTATGGGCTTCGTTAACCTGGGGAAATGCATGGTGGAAAAGTAGTTCCCTGCCTCCCCCGCCCCCAGTCTGTCCCCCGAGTTGCAGGTGTAGGCACAGGGAAGGAAATCCCACTCCCACCTGCAATGCCACTTTCCCTGTCCCCAGTTGAGCCCAGTCCATAAGCAGCCCAGCTGGGGTGGACAGGAACAGCTCTTGTGCTTCCCCCATCCTCAGGACAGCGGGGAAGGCAACAGGGGCAGATGGGGGAGGGGGATTTGGAGCTCTTTAAAAAGTCCCTAGAGACTCCCGTAGTGCACTCAAATCTAAAAGGGGGGTGTAGCCACTCCACTGTACCCCACTCTAGATCTGCCCTATGAAAGGTTCTTGCCTTCTAGCCTTTCAACTATTTTTTTTTAATTTTGTGGAGGATTAAAAAATTATTATAAACCCACTCCTACTGTCCCACCACTATTTTAACAGGCCTTTTATCATAACATTCCCATTACAGGTCCCCTCACATTTTGTCTTGCATTTTTAAACAAGATGCATTAGCTGCACTAACCCTTTGTTGCACAGACTTAGCAACAGTCCTGTTTCAGGTGTGAATTCATGGGCTAGAGTTCCCTAATTCCGAAAAACGGGATGTGCATGGTTGACACACATTCAAAGCCAAATATCAGGCAAATTTTTGAGCTGCACATAGTTTTAGAAATGCCAGTCCCTTTAATATATATGGCTTCTCTTTTGTTCCAGGACTGCCTTAGATTATTTTCCAAAGAGGAAAAACTCACAGATAACAACAGATTTTACTGTAGCCATTGCAAAACTCGAAGAGATTCTTTGAAAAAAATAGAGATTTGGAAACTGCCACCTGTTCTTCTTGTGCACTTGAAACGGTAAGACGCTGCATTGTGAAAAAGTATCTTTGAATAGAACCAACTTGGCATTTATGGATTTCTTGGGGCTACAGCCTTTTCCTAAAATGTAGATTGTTCAGCAGAAAAACTGAGTCCATTGGTGTTGCCCATTGTTCTGAGCCCCAATCCTGGAAACACTTATAAGTAATCCAGCTGAGTGTGGTGTGCAATGGATTCTGTGCACAAATGTTGGGGGGGGTGTTGTCATTGTAGTCCTGATTCTCTGTTTAAGTTGCAGAACAAAGGATTTAGTCTTGTTTTTGTAGGTTAAAACCAGAGTATGTGAAATAACAATATGCATGAAATCAGCTTCAACTTCTTGTGACCTGCTGCTCAAGCCAGTTCTGCTTCTTACTTTCTCTAGATTTTCCTATGATGGAAGGTGGAAGCAAAAGCTTCAAACATCTGTAGATTTCCCTTTGGAAAGTCTTGACCTGTCGCAATATGTTATTGGTTCAAAGAGTAATTTGAAGAGATACAACCTGTTTGCAGTATCGGTGAGTAACAGCAGACATCAACATTTCACCATAAAACCACATTGTTAAAATCCTTTGATCTTAGTATCGTAAAGTCCTCACATGAATCACAAAGTTTTCTAGGCCTCCTGCCTAGGCCTAGTCCTAGTCCAGTGTAGAATAGAAGTAGCAGCAAGGGCTTAATACACAGCATGAAGTGGAATTCTGCATTGGTCAAAATCTGGAATTCAGCCGAGCCATGATGCATCTGCTTTATTGGGCAAAATGCATGTTAACTGTTGTCCCACCCTTGTCACACCATCGAGGGGTGATGTGATCTCCCTCCCTTCCCTGCTCAATCAGACCTGTCCCCTGCAGTCACTTAGAGAGGCACCCTAAGGAATCTCAGCAGGTGTTCCAGGAGCTTGGAGCACCTGCCCAGTGTGGCTGGAGAGTACAAGCAGCTGAAGCTGCCTGTACTCTCCTGCCGCAGAGTTAATGTACGTCTCTGCAAGTGGCAGAGTCTATTACTGTTTTTGTCATACCACTGATTTTTCTTTGGTGTGACATGACAAGGGGCAGTGAGATGTACTTGGTCATAGTTTGTGCCACCATAAACATTTTTCAGAAAAGACTGATGCCAAGACAAATAATTGTTTGAATTTCTTTTCACTCCTGATCTTCACAGAATCACTATGGAGGGCTGGATGGAGGGCACTACACAGCCTACTGTAAAAACCCTGCAAAACAGCACTGGTATAAGTTTGATGATCATGAAGTGTCTGACATCTCAGCATCTTCTGTGAAGTCCTCAGCAGCTTACATTCTCTTTTACACATCTCTTGAACAGCGAACAGCAGAAATAGCCATGTAAAGTAATATGGGATGAAAAAAATTGATTCTCTTTATAAATGCACAATACAGGTATAGAAATGCATATTAACATGCAAATCCATGACAAATATATAGTCACTTTAAGAATTAGGGGATGATTGCAGCAGCTTGTCTGCTGCGCTATCTTCCTGGTCAGTGCTATTGCTTGAGTCAGAAGACTGATAATGCGTCTGGTAATACCAACATCTGTGAAATCATAAAAGCAAGCATTCTTATGTTACAATTTAGTTCACGACAGCTATATTTTTAGTCTGCTGCAAAACAAAATTCTAGCTTAGTCCTTTAAAATCAATTAACAGGTAGGTTAAAATGTTCTTAAAACCCCAGGCATATCCTGATTTTCTTTTTTTCTTTTTTTTCACTGTTATGGCCTTTTCACATTTCTAACCTTAAGCTTGATTCTACTGTGAATACTCTAGAATGATGTAAACAGTTAGGAATGTAAGTGTACATATTGATTGCATACTTGCACATCAGAACTATGTATATAATAAAATATGTGGTCCTTTTGTGAGACTCTCTATAACTTGGAAGATTGCTTTTATTTCCCAGTTTTAAACAACTGCAACACTACTTATAAGTATAAAAATAGAGCTGTATTTTTCTGTTAGCTTTTGTCAATATTTGTGCATTTAAAAGTTATTCTAAAGAAATAAGATTTTCCTTTTTAATTTTCTAATATAAACTTTCATGTACACATGCATTAAAAATCTTACTGAGGAAACTATTTAAAAGCATGCTATCCTGTTAAACACATGTTTTGGGTTTGTTGAGCCTCTGCTCAGTTTGATTGTTTGTCAGGATTGCTGTGGGGCTGTACATTTGTATTTCTTCCACAGAGCTTGTACACGCTCCAGTGAAAGGACAGCTGTTTGTCTGAGTGAATTAGTTCAGGAGCCATTTTAGTTCATGCTACACATGTGTCATCTGGGAACAATTTCCAATTGTCTTCATAGTTTCCACTCCTGCCTGAACTCTTGGCTCTATGCATCTGTGCATTTGGCTCTTGCCCAGTTAGTTAGAGAGCTGACATTGCCATAGCAGGAGGTACTGCATGAAGAGGTGAGGTGCTAAACGCATTCAAACTGAGTTGGGGATAAAGTGGTCAGAATGACCTTCCTTAGTAAAAATGATTCCAGTGTCTTAAAGCAGGGATGGCCAGCCTGAGGCACGTGTGCCACACAAGTGGCACAAGAAGCCTATGTGTGGCAGATCAGGGATGGGGCAAACAGCACACAAAGTAGAAAACAGAGCAGCGGGGGAAGTGTATCAGAGCTACACTTAGGGAGCAAGCACGGTTAATTTGCGGCTCACCAACCAGAAATGTCAACTTGAAGGCAACAACTGCTGAGCTGAGGTAGCCATGTGAAGTCAGTCATAATGAAAGCAATGCTGACAACATCAGTGCTTAAATTAAATGTTAATATCCAGGCAATGTACAGTGCGTATTGAAAACTTGCACTTAATTATGCCTTCGTGGGCTTATCATCTGCTGTTAAGTAAGGCAACCCAGTAATGCAAACTAAAACTTCATAGAATGCCACCTTACAGTAAGATAAGCCCCACACCCATAGGCTTCAGATGACCTCTGACTTTATTGGCAGAGGAACCAGCAGTGGTTATGTTGAAGTGGTGAGGTTTTACTAAGTTATATGACAAGATTGAAATTGTGATCTCCTGCCACACTTCACTAGTACTGAAAGGAAGACAAAGCTTGATCCTTGGATAGCAGTGTCTTGCCTCTAAGTGTATACTCTTAAGCTCACCTTAATTTCAGCTTTCTCCCTTCCCTTCCTCTGCTGAAACCTAGATGGAACTTCCTTTCAACATGTGTGTCCTCCCTGCCACCTGCATATCACCACCACAGAAGCTCTCTTGCTGCATCCACATCCTTTTCCATGTGTGTTACCAAGGGCTGATTTCCCTAAGGAAAGGGAGTGAGTGTTTTCAATGTTTACTCCAATCAAGCTGCTTAAGCTTTAATAGCTGTCTGTCTGCTATTCTGAGGTGCACAGTACACAAATGGGGTGGGCACTGTCTGGCCTGCCACAGTGTGGAAGTTGCCTTTAACTACTTAATCTTTTGTTCTAAGAGTCACCATTTTAAAAATAAAACCCCTCCTTCTAAGTTCTTGGCAGAGTAGTTGTTCTTTGAGGCAAACATGGGCCAATGGCCTTTGTGCATCAGCTGGCCAGCGACTGTTCAGATCAAGTGGATAAATCATCAGCTTCTCATCTGCACACACTTCCATCTCATACAATATACTTACAGCTCAGGTACTATGTACTTTAGTGCATTCTGCTACTAGTTTTCAATGTTTTTTTGTACCATGAAATTGCAGGATCTTAGCACCAATGAAAAGTACATCTGATCAAGCCAAAATAGTTGTGAGAGAGAGAATGAGTGCCAGTGGAAAGTGATCTTGCTGTAGCACAGTTACTGGTTTTGCATGATAAACTGTGACTTTTTAATGGAAGTCCTTTGCATCCTGTCAAAGGCAAGTCATTAAGGTGATGCCTGAGTCAGATCTGCATGCTTTGTCCCCTTATATTAGTCTGCAGGAGAGTAAGAAATTCACCTGTAGTGGTAGTGGATACCTCCTGGCAAACAGACATGATTCATACCACTGACTGCTTGTCTCTTCCCCATCTCATGTCTTTGTTATGAAACCTCCAAGAATAGACATAAACCAAGAAACAGAATTGGTACTTACTGTTCACCTTTCAAATGGCTATAGTCAAGTTTCAGAGATAAGAGGCTGAGACAAGTGGAGCAGTTCAAAACTCAGCTACTGCTTAAACCTCTGTCCAGACCCTCAGGAAGATGACATGTTCAGATATGGAACATTTCCTTTACACGTCAAGGAGCTAGAAACTATTTTAAAACAGAGTGGCCGCAAGGCAGACTGACAAGCCATGGGATCTAGTATCTGGCAGTACTCTTTAAAAGCAACAATTAGCTGGGAAGAGGTTTCATCATTTTTATTTTAAGCATACAGCACATCAGACTGAGTTTTCCCATTGGGAAAAGCATGGAGACAGTGGTAATAAGACAGGCACAGCACAGAAACCATCAGGGCACATTTGCCTGGCAAGAGGCGATAGTAAAAGCACTTGTCAGGTGAGGCTGTGTTTGTTCCCTGGCTGCTTCGTGAAGTGCAAAGATGTATTGGAAAGAATATGTATCACAGCAGGGTGATGGAGGAGCTTCTCTTCAGCCAGCTGCTGCTGCAAGGCCCAGATCAGGAACAGTGAGGAGAAGCTATTTTATTCCTGCTTTTTATGTAGCACCTGTTAAGTTAGGGTCCAGATACACTGCCATCTAATAGTGTCAGAGACCACAGAACTAAAGAGTGGACTCCTCCCCATTCACAAAAGAAGGGGTGAGGGGAAAGCAGTAGGTATGGAGAATGTCTACACTGCAGAATTGTGATTGTAGCATAGCACAGAAATATGTTGGCTATGGCAGAGCAAATGGATTGGTCCACTTGGTGAGCTGGAAAAGAGGAGGATCTGGGGCAAGCAGAGAGGGAGCTGTCATGTTTATGCTGTATTCTTGTTCAGCTGGAAGCTATTCAGGGCAGGTTCTGTACCTTTATATTTAGAAAGAGTCCCCAAAGTGCTAGGTATAGTCACTGTAATAATACTTCAGATATTAGTGCGAGAGGCATTTTAGAAGCAATTCTGCTGATACAGGGTAGTGACATGATTTTTGAACCATCCTACAATCAGAAGCCACAACTCCAAAACTCACCTTTGAAATCACTTTCTAAACATAATCAAAGACAACAAGTGATATTCAGGTACTGCCCTAGTTTAATGAGAACACAGAACTTGGCTTACACTATCAGTGAATTGTAACGATGGGCCTAATGTTTTCTGGTTGGTACAGAGAAGGCTTGACAGCTGTAAAAGAGGAGATAGGCTGCAGCAGACTGCACTGAGGAGTGTGGAATCTCGGTGACCTGCGAGTCATCGAAGCTGTACCAGTTCTGGGTGACAGTGTGTTTGCAGAAGGCTGTATAGTGGCCACCATCCAGATACCCAAAATGGTTCTGCAACAACAAGCAGCAAGTAAGTCCAGGAAGTGCTATGACTCCACTTTAACAGACTAAAAGCCAAGAACCTGGTGATCACTCTCACCTGTACTCAGCAGTTGTGGGGATGGGGAAAACTAAATAAGATTTCAGCTTTTCTTTTACAAAACATTTCTAATATTTAAACTCTGCAATAGAAAGAGCAAATTAATGTTGTGTGTGGGCACTAATAATATTTTCCATGTCAAATATCACCCTTGCAGACCAGCTAGCAGCTCCTACCTGTAGGCCAGATGCCTGGTGAGTGGATCTCACTGGCTGCCTATTGCTTATCCACACCCAAAGGCTGCAGGCTTGGAAGTCTGCCCATGGAAACAAGTTTACACCAGTCAGGAAAGGGGAGAGGTTTCATCAACAATGGTTGACTGAGGAACCAGGATGGGTAGTCAGCTCATTTACCAAGTAGCTTGACTCAAGTATTTGCCAAATGATGCAATCAGCCTTCAGGATACATGTATTGCATCACAGACTGGCAAGGGAGGGTTTATCTAGCTTCTTAGGAAATTGCTCCCTATGAGGGATCATACAACTCCACGTACTCCTGCAGTCACGTAATAAACAGGCGCAGTCACTCTGTAAGTGGGACCAAACTGTACTGGAGTCATTGTACAGACCTCACAACTATTAAAAAGTATTAGTTGGAGCCAAATTGCTTTTCAGCTACACAGACGAGACTAAGTGTGTTACAGCATGGTAATTGTGTTATTATACAATGTCCAGACATTCAGATTGCATCTGGGTACAGTCTTGTAAGTACGATACAACTTCAAATGCCACCGAGCACAGCCACTATTTCTATGTGGCTACAAACCATCTAATGCTAGCCAATGAAAACTGTGGTAGTTTGGGAAGTAGTTTTCAATTCAGGAGACCCCTCGTAACCTTGGAACAGCAGATACATCAGCAATCGCTGTGTATGTGCTTTTCCCTCCCCAAAAAATGTTAAACTGCACATGCATAGGGGAGGGGTGACTTTGGCTGTTTAGGTCAAAGGCCAAGCACTAGCTTCATTCACATGGACATTACAACTAAGGATAACCTTGCTTCAAACTTACCACCACGGCACACAAGCTGTATTTTGGATTCTTCCGAAACAGTGGATAGACATAAGGAGAAAGATCCAAGTTGCTTAGTGGATAGTGGATGTCCGTTCCAAGTTTCCTTTTGTAGCTGCCTTGACAGTCAAATCTGGAAAAACATGAGATTATTCATAATGTTCCTCAGTCACCAAGCAAGAACCAACCTCTCATGATTGCAAATGCTCTTTTGCAGTCTATTTATTTAATCTGTTTGGTAAAATAATTTTCTATCTACTTAAAATAATTCTTGGGACTAATATAGCATTTCAAAATGCACTGCAAGCATTCCTTCCACTGTCCCCCTGAAGTCAGGTAAGCAAGTCAAACATTAAGGAACTGAAAGATTTCCTTTTACAAAACATTTCTAATATTTAGAACTCTGCAGTAGAAAGAGCAAATTAATGCTATGTGCATATCATTAGTGCCCGTACACAGCATTAATTACTGACAGGTCAGAGCACTAGCCACTGTTTTAGCCCCTCCCACTCAGGGCAGTGCTAGCAGAGGTAAAAGTAAGTATCTGTAGGGATGGGCACCATCACACACACATGGCTGCATGATGTACGCGTGCACTGGATATCTCGTTTTCTGAATGCCCTAGTTTTACAGACAACCCTTTTTTTCTTTCATAAGAGTCACTTCTGATCTCATTGTCAATCTCTCATCTCTGCCCCTTGCAGGGAAGAGCAGCAAGAATGCACCAAGGGCATGATCTGGATTGCAAAAGGGGATTAAGGGTGAAACATGTTGTCTTGGTTTCTCAGGAGCTTGTCTTGTCAGCTCTAGCTGGCCACAAACGCTCCAGGTACTCTGTGTGTACAACAATCTGCTTCTCTGTGCTGTGCTTTCCCTTTCCTGTTGATGCAAATAACTTCCCTGCTTGTCTTGCAGCCATCCTACCATGCAGTGTGTACCTCTTTAAGTGCAAAATAACAATCTTTGGTGCCTTGGCTAGGCAGGTCTTCACTGCAGTGTCTTGCTTTGTCCCACAGCACGAACACTGGATTTGATTATTCCAAGTCAGAATGTCTTGTTGAAAGAAACATTCAAGACAGTCCTGTCAGAGAAAAACATGTTTAGTAAAATGAGGGCCCAAATGGGTTTGTAGAGAAGTGAGTTTCTGCCAAGAGAGCTGAGTCTGAGGAGATGAAGTCCCAATACATCAGTTTGTTGGCTTGGGGAAGTCACCTTCTGTAGTTCTGCCCGTGCTAATAGCAGTAAGAAACTGCCATGATATTATGACTATACGAAGAACACGAAGCAGCTAAAATCTGCACTGTCCCGTCAACAGAAACATTTAAGAAGTATTAAGGCATTGCTCAGTTGCTCACTCTACAATAAAAGTAGACAATTCTCTGAACACCCGGCACTCCGTGGTGACCCCAGAGCATTTTCAAATGCCACAAACTTGACTGTTACCAATCAAAAACACTCTCGAGTCTGGTTGAGGAACCCCAAGTCAAACCCTCAACTCAATAAATGTCTCCCTTTATAGATGGTAGTGCTGAAGTGATGTTGTAGCCATGATGGTCTATGAAATATGCAAGAGGCAAGAATTTTGTGGGTAATATTTTTTATTGGATCAACTGCATGGTTGGGAAAGACTTAGACAAGAAGGGCACTGTGATACCCAAAAGCTTGTCTAAGTCTATCCCAACCATGTAGTTGGTCCAATAAAAGGCATCACCCACAAAAGTCTTTTTCTCTCTACAGATGATATCCTAGAATATGCATGTCCTAAGAATGCATTTTTTTAAGAGAATATATTAGCATAACCTTTCTTCCGCTACACTAAATTCGAGAGTAGGAGGACTCAGTGGGAATCCTACCTGTAGAGAGCATGCAGTCTCAGAAGGGATGGGAAGAGAGAGGACAGTAAAGACCTCATTCTTATCAGTGGTGTTCTGACACTCCAGACATGTGATTTCATAACTCAGCTGTCCCTCGAATAGCTGTGTGATGATTGATGTCTCGGGGGAAATCCCTCTGTTTTCCCTGGCAGTGGATATGCTTCCCTGGCTTCTTCTTTTGTTTAACTGTACGAAGAAAAGTGAAGGATAACACCGATTACTACAAAAGTGTCTAAATATTTATTAATGTTTGTGCAAGAAGCAAATATTTCCAGTTTGACTGTCAAGGTAGCTGCAAAAGAATCTTCTGTTTTTTCATCCATTTTTTTCAGATAAGTATCCAGGAGGTAGTCAAATATTTTCTCAGGTGTTCCCTTATATTTGTAAGATTCATTATGTTATATATTTATAAACAGGGACCTAGCTACATTTTAAGACATACGATTCATGAATAAAATATCACAGTAGGTTCACTGTGACTCATGGATGAGATCAGTCATTATTTGGTCAATGATTATGTATTTGTGAGATTGTTAATAGCATGGATGTTTCTGAAATCTGCACCAGAAATCTATTAGTCGTATGTTTTCAAAAGCTTCAGTCACCTGCTAAGGGACAGAAACTAAATCAGTTGCACAACATAAATAATGAGCAGGTGAACAGGTCATGACCAACTCTGAGACTGATAACAACTCTCATTTCTTCTGGCAGATACTTTACAGGTGACAAATTTATTTTAAAATAGTGATTGGTTTGAAAGGGTTAGCTAAGCACAGAGTGGATTCTTATATTCAAATACTACATGAGCTATGCAGTTCAACTCGCTCCCTTTGTCAGCATCCTCATCTATCAGCCCCTGATTTGGTTTAAGGCCCTGATCAGGCAAAGGTTTGCTTAATTTTACAAACTGCAGGGTTCCTCTTACAGCCCTGGAATGACTTGCAGTGTGTACAATGAAGTACAGCCTGAACCTTTACAGGATTAGTGCCTAATCTGTTAACCTCTTCCTAGCTGCAGACATCCTTTGTTCCCTAAAGCCTTCAGACTACTCTCATGTACCAAACACCTTGTCTCTTTCTTCCTTCCAGTGATCTTCCCTGGAAGATGTATTCTTTTATTTTTTCCACATATAAGAATCAGCCTTCCAAGGCTTCTCACAATAGGGCCTACCAGAACAGCAGTATGGAGCACTGCCTCATTCCACCACTCTCAGGGTCCTGCTGTCTTCTGTCAAACCTAGCTGACAAGATTCTTTGGGTAAATGTGGTATCTTTTATTAGACAAACTAAATAGTTAGAAAAAATTGTTCTTTGCAAGCTTTCCGGCATAAACACCCTTCTTCAAGCATAGCGAGAGTCTGCTGGTGTTTGTGCACTCTCCTGGGTGGAATAGAAGCCAATATGCAAAATGCAGGTCTGTGAAAATGCAAATGGATGGCAGTGAAGACCAGAGGGGATGGGAGACAGTAGCTGTGAAACAGGTAGGTGTGGGGGAGAGGGGGAAGGGTGTTGAGGGAATTGGCAGGGGTTATTGCGGGGCCCCTGGCAAGGCTTTACAAGCATTCGTGGTGCTCTGGCCAGGTGCCAGATGACTGGAAGAAAGCCAGCGTGGTCCCCATCTTCAAAAAAGGGAAGAGGGAGGATCCGGGCAACTATAAGCCCATTGGTCTTACTTCAGTCCTGGGGAAACTGTTTGAGAAGATCATCAAGAAGCACATCTGTGATGGGCCAGCAGCAGGGATGATGCACAAGGGCAACCAGCATGGTTTCATTAGGGGCAGGTCCTGTCAGACCAACCTGACTGCCTTCTACGATCAGGTCACAAAAGCACTGGATGCAGGTGTCGCGGTGGATGTAGTCTTTCTGGACTTCAGCAAGGCCTTTGACACGGTCTCCCACCCCATTCTCATCAAAAAACTAGGTGACTGTGGCATTGATGCCTACAGTCAGATGGATTGTAAATTGGCTGAAGGGTCATACTCAGGGGGTAGTGGTGGAGGGGTCTTTTTCGGCCTGGAGGGAAGTGGGCAGTGGAGTCCCCCAGGCTCGGTCCTTCAATTTCTTTATTAGTGACTTGGACAACGGGGTAAAAAGCAGCCTGTTTAAATTTGCTGATGATACCAAGATTTGGGGTGAGGTGGGCACGCTAGTAGGGAAGGACAGATTACAGCAGGACCTGGACAGGTTACAGGGGTGGGCTAATGAAAATAGGATGGGTTTCAATACTGACAAGTGCAGGGTGCTACACTTGGGGTGCTACACTTGGGCAGTGGGAACCAGCAGCACACTTATAAACTGGGAAACTCCCTTCTCGAGGGCACAGTGGCAGAAAGAGATCTTGGAGTCATTATTGACTGCAAGATGAACATGGGCCACAATGTGAGGTCACGGTCAGTAGGGCTAACCGTACCTTGTCGTGCATCCACAGATGCATCATGAGCAGGGCCAAGGAGGTGATCTTCCCTCTCTGTGTGACACTCATCAGGCTGCAGCTGGAGTACTGTGTTCAGTTCTGGGCGCCACACTTCAGGAGGGATGTGGACAGCATTGAGAGGGTCCAGAGGAGGGCCACTCGCATGATCCGGGGATAGCAGGGCAGATCCTATGAGGCCCCTCCCCCCCTCCCACCCCGGGGTAACAAGGAATAATAGCCACAAATTATTAGAAAGTAGGTTTAGACTAGACATCCAAAGGCACTATTTCACAGTCAGGGCGGCAAGGATCTGGAACCAACTTCCAAGGGAAGTGGTGATGGCTCCTACCCTGGGGGTTTTTAAGAGGAAGCTTGATGTCTACCTAGCTGGGGCCATTTGAGCCCGGTTTTCTCTCCTGCCCAGGGCAGGGGGTTGGACTTGATGATCTACAAGGTCCCTTCCGACCCTAATTCTATGAATCTATGAATGTTGGCCTGGTGATAGAATGTAGCTGGTAAAATGTGGAAAGGTACCTGGGTTTATTGGATGGCAGGTAGGTTATAATATGTCATAAATCCAATGTCTATATTTAGTCCACAATTTTTTTTGTATCCAGTAGATTTATGGGGTGAAGTTCATAGGCTCAGCTACAAAAGGTGTTTTGTAAATTCCCTTTGAGGATTAGAACTGAGAGATTGGAGACAGCGGTTGTCTTGTGCGAAGTGTGCACCCACAGGTAAATGAATGTTTTTGTCTGTGATAGATTTTCAGTGCGTGTTCATTCTTGTTGTTGTTTGGTTTCTCCTACGTATTTTCCATCAGGGCATTTAGTGCACTGGATGATATGTATTGCATTTCTGGAGGTGCAGGTGTAAGATCCAGGAATGCTGATGGTTCTGTTGTGGGGTGTAATTATTGCAGGAGTGGTGGAGATGCGTTAGCGGGTTTAACATTTTTTGTCCTGGTATGGTCTGGATGCGTTCGGTGTGCTTTAGGCCATAGGAAGTTTGCTTCTGGTGATGAGGTTGGCAATGTCCAGTGCTTGTTTAAAGACTACGATGGCTGGTTCTGGAAAGATATCTTTAAGAAATGGGTCTTCTTCTAGTATGGGTTACAGTGGTTTGATTTGCATTTTCACGGACCTGCATTTTGCATATTGGCTTCTATTCTACCCAGGAGAGCGCACAAACACCAGCAGACTCACCCTATGCCTGAAGAAAGGTGTTTGTGCCCAAAAGTTTGCAAAGCACATTTTTTCTAACTATATAGCTGGTCTGTGGCAGCGCACCTTCGGGTGCTTGCCACTTTAAGGGCTGAGTCAGGCAGCCACCAGGTGCCTGATTGCGGCAGCCATTTTAGAACACAGGCTGACTATATAAAGACAGCAGTTTGCTGCTGGCAACAGGCAGACATCACCTGGCTGAACTGCTGTACAGAACATCTAGCAGGTAAGAGCAGGTGGCTCTTGGTCCTGGGCATGACCTAAAACTGCACCCTGCTGGGGCTCCTAGTGGCATGGGAGTTCCCAGGAAATGCTAGGCAATTTACCTTCCCAGTGAAAGGCAGTTAAGGGTGCCTTAACCCTGGCCCCCACCATCTGGTGGGCAATCATGAGAGCTGTGGGAGTAGTGGGGCCAGGTAAGCTCATGTGTAGGTGCCTGAGCCCAGCACGGATGTGAGATCCCGGAGACCCCAGAGCGGGTAGCATGGGGAGCGTAGTGTGAGGCCCTGCACAGAATAGGGCTGAGTTGGGAGTAGGCCTGAAGGGCAGTCCCAGGGGAGCGCTGAGTAGGGCTGAACTGGAGTAAGCCTGAAGTCCAATGGAAGGGCCAGCCCTGTGAGAAGGTAGTTGCAAGAATGAGGAGGAGACCCTAGGGTGGGGCATGGTGCAGAGTTGCCCAGTGAGGGGCTTGGGACAGAATCAGCCCAGGGTTTGGCACAAAGCTGGGCCACGTAGAGTAGGGGAACTTGTGGGAACTGAAGGACTGTGGTGAGGCCAGCATGCAAGTAGTGAAGCCTGATGCTCCAAGAGGAGCAAGGGCACTAGAGTGTGGCCCAGTAGTGGGTGGTATACTAGAGGCCCCTGTGAGAGGGGGGCAGAGTGAATGTGAGGATGAATGGAGCCCAACTTTGAACTGGGTTTGCTCTGGTGTCAGAACGGGGAGTAATCCTAATCTGGATGCCATCTGCGAGGCATGGGCTGTAGTGGAGGGGAGCTTTGGAGCCACAGAGAGTGCCCCTGGCATCAGGGCTGGGAATAGGCAGCCTCCCACATTGCTGTTTCCATAAACTGGTTGTACAAAGTCGTGGCAGGAAAGACTGGGCAGACTGGTCCATAGAGAGAGGTGAGAAGCTACTTGCTTCTCGGGGTGTGGTGAGACCAGGCCCTGAGCATGCCCCCTGTCACAGTCTAATAAAAGATATCACATTTACCCAAAGAACCTGCTCTGCCTATGTCCTTAGACCTATAACTAACATCTCCAAAAAAATATTGAAACATTCAGCATCTCCATGCTGTTTTGTACCTTCTACTGCTGTCCTTGCTGCTTCAGAGTAGTGCTAAAACATCTAGTCTGAAAAATCGCATTGTTTACTTGTGAGATGGTTCTAAAGCAAAACTCAGAGATGAATAATCTCTGGGAGAGCACTGGATAGATTCACAGGACAAGTTAGCTGCACAGATTAGTATTGAGTCTCAACTGGGATTAAAACTGATTTGTTATAATGCTGCCATTTTATGTGGTGCACAGCAAGTTGAGCTTCCTTCTCAGAGCATATTAGCAAAGAGGGATGGGAAAAACAAAGAGAGACTTCAGAGCAGGTAGGGTAAATTATAGATGGCATCAAAACAGATTTAAAGGAGAAGCAGAGGTACAGCTGGGCAAATAAGAATATTCTAGGTATGTGGGGGAGACCATTACTAAGGTATGGTGTAAGAAGATGGTGAGGAGGAGGAAATGAGAACAGAGGTTCAAGTGGGTGAGCAAGGCACCTTGGTGATAAGCCATAGCAATAGATAATGAAGGGCAAGAGAGAGTGTTTTGGTAAAAGTGGCTGGGGCAAAGAAAATAAAATAATTAGTAGCAGCATTTTGTATAGTTTAGAAGGAAAGAAAAGGGCATTATTGCATTATAGGCTAAACAAACAGTAATGAACTGTAAGAGCACAGGTCCATGGGGACACACTATAGACCAGTGGTTCTTAATATTTTTAGACTCAAGGCGCCCCTTAGGAAGTGCTACTCTTACTTTTCACCTGTTTTTTTTCGCTACAGAAAAATAATAAAGCAATTCTTCTATTCCAAAGAACTCAGAAAGACTTGCCTAGTTTAACATTATGAATTCCTTTTTGATATCTCTGGGTTTATTTTGTGAATCCTGTTTGGACACCAAACAGTGTGTGAGCATTTGTATTGCGCCTATCAGCAGCACCCTTGAAAGAATGTTGTGACATCCTGGTTGAGAATCACTGCCATAGACACAGTCCCAGAAGGCCATAATTTTGGTCTTACCTTCTTAAGAGTCTCATGTAGTTCACTCAGGACATAAATCAGAAACTCCTGAGCATCCTGCTGAGTCTTTTTGGTAAAAGCCGGGTGCCGGCCACCAATGACTGAACAGAAGACCTCTGGTGATACACAGTCAAAGTCTCCAAGCCATATGTCAGCCATCAGATAGGCAAAGGCAGTAGCAATTTCAACATTTTCCCTTCAGGAGAATAAAAATTGGAGCCAAAGAAAATAATTTAAAATACAAACAAAGACAACTCAAGAAAACATCAGCAAAATACAGTCCAGGTACAACTGCCACTATTTGTCTAATGTAATGCTGCAAGTTCTAGAAGGAATCTGTTTTTCTTGTAGTCTTCAGTAGTAGGAGCTGCCTGAAAGACATGGTCATAGTTCTCAGTACATTATCATTAATAAAACAAAGATTTGTACTGTAATAGTCATGCAGTCAACCACGGCAGAGAGGAAAGGGAATCGGAGCCGTAAAGATAGCAGTAGAAAGGCAGAGGAATTAAGAGAATTAAAGATGGAGACTATAGTGCTGGCAGGAGGAAAGCAGAAGTAGCTGAGAAATTAGGAGTCAATGATATTATCATGAAAGAGCATGGGCAGTGCAGTCAGGACTTGGGATTGGTTGCACTGGGTGTTCTACAAAGGTGAAGTCTGATTTTCAGAGGTATTGAATTCCTGACTGTCAGCGTTTCCACTGGGATTTTAATTCCTTCCAAACGGGTCTATAGAATAAGCACAGTCTGTGCCTGAAGAGCTTAAAATATACCAGCTATTGTGAGGCAAGTAAGAGACTGGGAGAGAACAAGTAGAAACCTAGAGAGGTCAGAAAGAAAGAATTTAGAAAGAGGCCAGAAGATCATGGTAATATCCACGAACTCCAGCTAAAAAGAAGTGGTTGCAGAGAATGGCTGAGATGGGGCTTGGGGGAGGAGAAAGGGGGTATCAGAGTGAAATAGGAGCCATTTTCTGGTGGCCTTGTCAAGATGGGTATAAAAGTACTCTCTAAAACAACATTCCTTTTGGAAAAACCAGCAGAACTGATCAGAAGGATGTGTTCTTGTGGACAGCAGATACATCAACTTACTTGCACAGGGCTGTGATGTACTTTCCTGAGAGAAAATACTCCACCAGTGGGGATATACTGCAGAGGCACTGCAAAACGGCATTCATGTAGCAAGTGTTGCCCAAGTTACGCAGGCCTGTCAGCCCTTGGTACTGCTGACTTCTCTCACCATTTGATTCCTCACGGGAGTCCTTAACATCTTCCAAGTGGGCAGGTTTGGGGCTATATTTCCAATGAGAACAAAATCCAGAACAGTTGTTGTGTTTTTGTTTTTACTAAGATGCATGGCTTCCTTATATTACTTACTTAGAAACTTGTGTTAGCTCAGGGGAGGCCATACTGAGCTTGGTTAAGATCTCCCTTAAAATATGCAGTCATATTCTTCCTGGAAGGTATTCAGATTGCTAGTTTACCATTATCCATTGGTCCCAGCAAGCCCTCCACATCTGGAGCTCCTGCTGACTTTGTAAACGAGAAGTTTACAAAGAAGCTTGAATGATCAAGCCCAGCATTTCAGAAACCCTGAACTTGGGAATCCTTTATATAATGTTCCTCCTCCTCAGTGGCTGCCTAGACCGATGAATAGGTATTTTCCAATACAATACCAATGAAGCTTAGACTTTACATTAAGTTTGCGCTGTTTATTGTCTTAGATCTCTGTGTACTAACTATGGGACCAATTCTGTGAATCAGCCCCAGGACAGAACTGGCTCCACTTCTCAGGATTGGGCCCTGGCAGCCTAGAGGCAGCAACAGAATATGGCACTGCCCTTCTTCGTTTTCACCTGACTCCTATCAGGTCATGCCATCCTCTGACTCCCATATGGGGCTGGGGGCCACATTTGCTCTCCAGCTTTCTAACCTCATTACTTTTCCCCGTCCTTGCTTCCTGCTCACTTTTCCCATATGTGTGTCTGGTGTCGAGATGGATGTCACTAATCAGACCT